TTGTAATGGAACGCTATGAGCGTATTGAATAAAATAAAATAAAAATAAAATAAAATAAAACTACTTTTAAAAGATGTTCCTAAAAGAAACAAAAGATATTGTGGAATAGAGATACGATCAAACAATGTGCACATACTCTGGGACACTCTGCGTATTGTTGTTTGATATCTATCAATAATTACTCCACCATCATGTTGTACAGCAACATTCTTCAGCCATACAAATTTTCTCAACGTTCTGCATTCAGGATACTACCTCGAACAAGAACTGCTGGCGATGCTCGTATCATAGGTAAGGTCTGATGCATATTTTCAAGTTGAAAACATTATAAAGTTGAATTGCTTTGACGTCCTCCAAAACTTTGAAGTTGAGTTAGACAGTAGTGGGTACTACCAGATCGTTGCATATGGCCAACATGCGAAGCAAAAGTCATTCCAGCTCGTAAGAAGGAGTAAATTCCAGCGATGGATTAGCGCAGGAAAACCTTTGCAGGGTTGAGAATCGATAAAAAATTTTGTTGAGATACTGCGTGAAAATGGTGGCACTCATAAATATGTATAATGTAACGAAGAAAATAGTTGTCATCATATATCAAGTGCCAGTCTAATCTGACGTTCATTAGAAATGTCCCTGTCATACGTAAGATTCTCTGCAAAGTGATTCGCTTAGAACTCCCAGGACGATAAGCTCTACGTAAAGCTGTAAGCAAAGGGTGCAACTAATGTTAGATGCGTCTTCTTTTAGATCGACGACCATTGGAAATGTCCGAAGCAGAAATTGAACAAGCTGTGATAAATGCCATACTAGGTGACACAGATTCCGATTTCCTTTTTTCGACTCACCATTCAAGTTTTATAGAATCATCAACGGTTCCTGCCAGGAGACGATCGCGTATTCGAAGGCCGCAATTACGGCTAACATCGGCGCTTCCAAGCTCACCAATAAGCAATACACAAGTGACTCGAATGCAACATACTTCAATCGTTTCGAATACTGCTCAAATGGAAGACGTTTTCGAGAGACCATTCGGTAGTAGGTCCAGCACTGTAAGCTTGGGAGGCATTATGGAAACTGAAGCTATTATCCCAGCTCTGACGACAACACCCATGACAATCGTAGCTCGAATTGATAACACTGCTTTCCCAACCAGTTCTATACTCTCTTCGCGTCGAGTCAACATAGTATCCAATAAAGAAAGCAGTAGTCGAACGCGGTCGAGAAGCCGTGCTTTGCACAAACACAGCAGTTTCTCGTCATCTGCGGCACATTTCGGCAGTGCTAGTACGAAAAGCATTGCGTTTGTTACTGAATCGTCTACATCAGCCCCGACTCAGTTCAATACCTTTGTTAGGAGCAGGCCAATAACCGTGATGGGTCAAGATGATTTTTTCACTGAGACCACAACCACAGGCTCTCCATTGTCGGATAGGATACCGACTCTGACTTTCACACCATCACCATCTTTGACATTGATCAGCGATGACGATGACGAGCTTTTTAGGACTATACCGTTTACCGACACACCTATCACTGATACCACAGAAGATTTTACTTCCACAACATCACCGTCTCCTACAGCTACTTTACCCACTCCTTTGACAGAAGATACAACGACGCCAATTCTCTTTGTAGATATATCTGATGAATTGAAAACCACTGAGGAACCAGGAACCCAAATGGACATTGACTTTTCGGGAAGAAATATGGAAGGATCAAATAGTCCGTCCATGGAAGTGTCAAGCAATCCAACCACGGAAGAGCCAACTGTTCCATCTATGGATGGCCTCCATATTCCAGGAATGGAAGATCCATCACACCCAGTTGCTGATAGCGATAAAGAAGGTGCTCAAAGAACAATTCCATCGACTCCAGTTGCTACACAGGTGGGTCTAATGGATAATCTAAAAATGCGCAACAAATAAAATTACAGATAAGAGGACCCCCTGCTCCTCCACCACCGGAATTTTTGCTTGCTAACAATAGGAACGTCAACGAATTCAAAGAAGAGGAATTGAACAGGAACATCATTGAAGGTTGGTAAATTTAGAAAAATTTTGGTATTAAGGTCCT